TTCCTTTAAAAATATTCAATTACCCTTACATTTTATACTTTTTATCTTCTTTTTCATATTTTTTCACTATCACTTCTATGTTTTCTACACGATTCATTACCCCTATTATTTCACTCGTAAATAATATGCTCAAACCTATTGTAGTGAACATTAAAATACAGAGGGTGTACTTTATTATAAAGTACTCCAAAATTCTTTTACACATCTGATATAATTTATATATAATATAGAAAATGTCAAAACATACCAAATCAGATATTTAATGAAGGCAGGTAAAAAAAATCTAAAACTATAAACTATCCAAAAATATGTCAAATAAGATAAAAATGCTTTTTTTAAACCAAGATAAAAATGCTTTAAACTATTACAAATATGAAAAGTAGAAAGAATTGTTTTTAAAAAAGTTATTTTTTTAAATATGAATGCATAATTGAATACAAGTAAAAAAGTCTAAAAGTCAAATTTATATAAAAATTTGAAAATGTTCGAAATTCAAAATAAAATTTATGTATAATAGAAAAATGCAATATATAACTGAAAAAAGTAAAAAAAAAATGTAAAATCAAAGAGTTTAATATATAAAACCTCGAAAAATGTGAAAATTGAAATACTAAACAAGAAAAAATACCTAAAATTGAAAAAATAATGAAAATTTAAATTTAATATCTTGTAAAATGATAAAACTTTTAAAGTGTTATTATGATATTACTGTTAGCTTATGATGCAAATTGTTTCTTTTTGTTGATAACACTAAAACTTTTGTTTTTTGTTGTTTCCATGTGTTTCTACTTTTTAGTTGTTGTCGATATTCATAAATTTAAATTTATCATTCTAGGTGCTATAATATAAATATATATATGATTTTTTATTTCAAGGAGGTAGCAAAAACAAATAGAAACATAAATAAACAACAAGAAATAATATCAACAATAAACAACAATAAGCAACATGATGCAACAAAAACAAACATGGTGCTACAAAAAGAAACATGATGCAACAAAAGGAAACATGTACGCTAAAACAAAACGAAACAAAAAACAACATAAAAGTTATCATTATTAATATAATAAAATCTATTAGTTCAACATATTACATTTATCTAGTATATCATTTGACTTTGGTTCTTCTAGTTCCTCTTCTTCCATTTATGTTTCCTCTTAACGCACAACTGTTCATATTTGTCACTCTTGTCTTCATTTTCCTCATCAAACTTCTTTGGCTTATCATCTCATGTACATCTTTTTCTATTATGCGTCTGCAATGAGAGTGTGATCAATATGACACAAATTCATAACCAATTATTACAAGAAACCAACACACTAAGTGTATGAAACAACCTTTTATAATCTACTCCTTTCTTTGAGTGGTGACACAGGTAGGGGGTGGCAGAGTACGAAAGACTACTATCGCACTTCTCGTTTGTGTGTGTGTGTGTAAGTGTGTTATATAATCCCTGCATCTTTATAATTTATCAAAAAACACGAGTAGGTATTTTTCTAAGCACTTTCCTAGTTCTAAATGGTCCTGAAAACATTACAAGAAGACATTCAGTTCCTGGAATTCCAGAATATTAAAACTAGAGGAGCCATACGTACTGCAGAAAGAAGAATAAACTTGAAAAGAGAACAAATATTCTGAACTTGGTAAGTCACCTTTTATCTCATAAGCTCGAGGTTTCTAAGCTCTGTGTTATGCTGCCAGGCTCCTACCAACACAATGCTTATTACAAGCTCAATTCAAGTCACCAATTTCACTATTATTCGCAAGACAATGCAAAATAAATAATAAATAACACATGCAAAAACAAAAACGTGTGAAATTAAAGACATACTTAGCCCACGAAGGATAGTTGTGAAGACGGTCATATTCTCATTTCCTTTTCTCCTCCCAAACCCTCGACAACCTCACTGCATATGGCCATAACCCCATGCCCTTTTGCAGCTTTCTCATCATCTTTCTACTCTATATTTTCTTTCAAGCATGAGGTTTGGATAGTCACACGCCCAGAACAATTTAAACAAGTAATATCCAGAATGAAAATAGAGTAATTGTAACAACTCTTTCAAGGCCATGCAATAAAACAAGTAATAGTGTGATGGCACAAAAAGTAAAAGTTAAACACTTTAAGAGTTGAAATTTATTCACATAAACTTTTCCTAGAGAACAGACAAATACTCTATGATCCTTAACATGGAAATCACACGAGTGGCACAAACAACACCAAGAGTACGGCTATATGTTACAATTATATAAATACCAAACACCAATACAGAAAGATTATTACAATCTTTTGACAATACAAATATCATCAAAATGAAGGGACTCAGTGTATACATTTTCATTTGGAAGAGCAGCAGATCCTGCAATACTTAGCCTCTGTAAAGTCATTTTTCACAATGAATGATACCATTAGTATATTATTTCAATTAATCAAAAATCACAAATACTTCAATCTGAAATTCATGTGTGTCATGTTCTGTGGCAATCTTACTCTGTTGATACTTTAGGTACACTCAAAGTCCCAACCAAAACTGAAAGTAAATTATAACAAAAATAAAGCAGAAAGTAAAACAAATCTGAACAGGGAAATAGAAATAAAGCTCGACTATATGAAGTATAACAAAAATTAAAGTGAAAGCAAATTGCTGAAAACTGTTAGAAATTGAGAAAATTTCCAGTGAGCTTATCATTCATCTCTGTGAGATTTAAATAGCTCATCAATGAAGTATAACAAGGAGTCAAAGACTAAGCTACGTGTGTTAGTCACTAACACCCAGCTACACATGTGATAATTATCATAATAGAATATGTGATAATAACAAAGGAATTAGCTGAACGAAATAGCTGAGTCCGTGAAAATAGCAATGGCGGAGCCTGGAGTACTGCATGTGCGTGGAGGTCCTCATGTATGTGCTATGTATTCATAAAATAATGTATGCTCTAACAAAGAAAATTCAAACACATACCTGCAAATCGGAAAGCTGTGAGGCAGTCAAGCAATAATTCTGTGAGCAGCGGAGCAACCGAGTAGGCAGGGCGGAGGGCGGAGCTGTGGATGTCGGAGACCGTAGACTGGAGAGCACAGCAGGCGCAAGGCGGCAGGAGAACAATCGTGCAGGTTGTCTTTAACCGCTTCAGTTCGATTGCCGGTGAGGTTGTGAAGACGGATGAATTCTTCAGTTCGATTGCCGCTTCAGTTCGATTGCCGGTGAGGTTGTGAAGATGGAGGAATTCTTCAGTTCGATTGCCGCTTCAGATCGATTGCCGGTGAGGTTTTGAAGACGGAGGAATTCTTCAGTTCGATTGCCGCTTCAGTTCGAAGGAATAAGGAGCTGGGTTGGGATTTAGGCTTTAGGCTATTTTTGAAATAAAAAGGTTTAAAGTGAAAAGGTAAAACTCTCTAATTGAAAAATAAAATGTGTGGAGACATAAATGAAATAGGATAGCCAAAAAGAGTTCATTCGGGTAATTTCCACAACAAAATTTCGCTATATCGAAATTCCGGTACGGTAAAGGTACAATATCTGTAAATTATCATAATTTACTTTGAAATTTAATATAAAAATTATTATATGACCAAATAAAATAGGGAATTTAACTTTAAATAATGTCAACTATTTTCGATGAATCAATAATAGTACGTATGTCAGAAATAACTTTTATTAATACCAACTTTCTGAATGTAGAACAAAAATAATATGGAGTCATTTTTTACAAAGAAATCTGATCATTTAAGACATCAAAAACTAATATTAAACCATCAAATAAAAGATATTTTCAAATACAGTCACTTATTTGATATTTCGATTTAGTTTTTAATGAGTTAAATGATTGATTTTGTAGTGAAAATTTGCTTTATATCACTTTTAATATATATTCTAATAGTTGGTAATATTAAAAGTTATTTTTAAAGTTAGTATTATTCTAGGTTCATGGAAGATAGTTTGTATTATTTAATGTTATTTTTCCAATAAAATATAAAAAATCAGTGTTAGTAGTGATAACCTATTGATGTTTTATTCAATTTTGAACAAGAATTATTATAAATATGTTTAAATATTTCAACACTTGAAAAATAAACATAACAACACATTCTCGATCCTAAAATAATTCAAGCATTATAGATATAATAAAATAACATATCTCCAACAAAAACTTTGTCAAAAAGTCATTTATCTTTAAGTTAATGTTGTATTTTTATCATATTTATAATTCAAAAAAAAATTATTAGCTTAGAATTTTGGTATGATGATATATCAACCGCATTTTATTTTTAAAATATATACTGATACCGTAACAAAATAATTCAGTACGGTACCATACATTAGTGTAAGTGTCGGTATACCAAACATTTCGATAAAATCGGTATTTTTTGATATGGTAAGTGTGGTATACCTAAGTTTCAGTATTTTTCAGCAGCCCTAGGTCGTATGTTGGGAAAGAATTGAGAGGGGAAAATAATTAGAAAAGCCTTAAACAAATAACTAGTATATACTTCGTATTTATTAGGATGTCTTACGTATTATTGGGATATATCCGGTGTGGCCTTTGGGATTGACTTTTCAATTTCTTTATACTTCGTAATTGATTTGAGATATTTTAAAAAACAAATTGACCCTACTAAATACAAAGACACTACTAAAATGGGACCTTTGTTTTTTTGGGACCTGAGGCAAAGATCTCAGCAGCCTCAAAGGCACCACGGGCCTGGTTAGCCCCCCCCCCCCCCCCTGCAGTTAAGTTTTTGGTTTTTAAAAATGACTGTAAAAATGTTTAAGAGATCACAATCATCACATTATTAAGCTAGCAAAGAAAGATGTAATGGATTGAGAGGACAGTAAAGATATTTATTTCTCCCTCGATCAGCTCCTAGCTAGCTAGTTTATACTTCGTACATTAATTGATTTTGATTGAATTATTATTGCATCTTGTTCCTTCCTGTTACACAACAAAACCTTATCGAACACTTTCTAATAAGTCATCCTATTACTTTTATGTAGCTTTGAGTGAGAACCTCTCATTTGACAGCAGTGTCACAAGCTCAAATGACAGCTCAGTTGGAACCACAGGTTTTGATATTGATCCCGTAAAATCTAAATCATCTGTCGCAAGTGATCCTCTCCGTCTCTCCCTCCAGTCTACTTTCTCAAGTCAAACTAACTTGAATGGGTTAAACGGTTCTTTATATAACCTTGATAGCGCTAATTTGGTTCCAAATATTTTTATTGATGATGGAGCTGCCTCCATATTTCAATTCCAGAGAGGTGTGGAGGAAGCTAGAAGATTCTTTCCTGCCATTAATCCAATGGTCATCCATTTTGACGATAAATACCCATTGGATCTAGAGACTGAGGAATTGAACAGTGGTACTGATGTGAGATTTGAGAAGGATTATTCAGCTGATTCATGTAGAGGAATGAAGCATTACCGTGCACATGAAAGTGGGCTAGATGATGAAAAAGAAGAAGGAAGGAACAAGAAGCAGAGTGCAATTTATGAGGAGGATGACTTATCAGAAGTGTTTGATAGGGTTTTGCTGTGTAATGATGATAATCATGATGATAGTCCATCTATAACCGGAAAACAATCACAAAAAGGCCGAAATGGACGCAAGAGCCGTTCAAATAAACAAGGAGAGAGTTGTGAAATTCTTGACCCCCATTCTCTTTTGATAAGTTGCGCAGAATTTGTTGCCGCTGCTAATTACAGTGCTGCTGTACAACAACTATTGAAGATCAGGCGTTACTCTTCTCCTTCCGGTGTCGCCAATCAAAGGGTGGCACATGCATTTGCTAACGGTCTTGAGGCACGGCTGGCTGGAATTGGGGTCCAACTTTGTGCTTCATCATCGTTACACAAGATGAATCGCTTTCCAAGTTATGCTTGCGAGTTGATGAAGTCCCACATGTCATCATCCTTGCCATTTATGAGGTTATTTATTTTCTTTGTGAATAAAATGATTTATGAAGTAGCATTAAAAGCTACATCACTGCATGTTATAGATTTTGGCATTCTTCATGGTGTCCAGTGGCCAACTCTTATTCGGGATCTTTCAAAAAGACGCGGTGGCCCTCCAAAACTTCGAATAACTGGGATTGAGCTTCCTCAATCTGGCTTTCGTCCATCGCAAATATTAGTGGACACTGGTTGTCACTTGGCTAGATATTGCAAGCGTTTCAATATACCATTCGAATTCAATGCCATAACAGCAAAGAATTGGGAGGCACTTAAGATTGATGACTTGAAGCTCAAACGGGGTGAGGTGATTGCTGTTAACTGTCTTGATCGTTTCAAAGGCATACTTGACGATACAACGTCTGGTGCTGACAGCCCAAGGGACGCTGTTTTAAACTTAATACATGAAGTAAGCCCTCATATTTTTGTGAATAGTGTTGGTAGTGCACCTCGGAACTCTCCTTTCTTTGTCAATCGGTTTAAATCGGCTCTCTACACCTACTCTGGTGTCTTTGATATGCATGACTCTATTTTTTCACGACATGATAGTCAAATGTTAAATTTTGAACAAGCAATAATGGGGCCCGTCATAACAAATATAATAGCATGTGAGGGTGTGGAAAGGATAGAGAGGCCTGAGACATACAAACAGTGGCATAGTCGCACATTGAGGGCTGGGTTCAAGCCTATGCCCTTGAACCTTGAACTCGTGAAGGAGTTAAGAGTCAAGGCGCGGGAAGCATATCACAAAGACTTTATGTTTGCCGAAGACGGTCATTGGGTGCTACAAGGGTGGAAAGGTCAGGTTTTTTCCGGTAGCTCTGCCTGGGTAACTGACAATCGCTGATTGACTGTACAGTACATCAGCGAACTTTACATTTCATGAAACATTGCATCTAAGAGCAGGGGAAACGTTCCAATGTTCCATATATCATGCCTTTCTATATCTGCAACTTAAAATTTCTGTTTTCGGAATCAGCGTTTTGGAAATTTCATTGCTTTTCATTTTTAATTTTTTATGGGATTTCTGGATGAGATTGGGATCCAGGGGCGTATTTAATTTATGTAATTTTTCATAGCTGCATGGTCTTTGTGATATTTCATACTACGTACTACTACGTATATAAAGTATGGTTGGAATGTATTGCATTTAAATTGACTTATATACCAACGTGGCAACGTGCAATAATATCTAGGGAAAAAGACTCCAATAGGAGTAAAACAAGGGCTTGGTATGCGGATAAGACCTCCTACTTTTTTAACCCTAAATAAGACTTATTTGCACCTGAACGGACAAAAATGCCCCTTGGACAAGATTACATACTCGGTTCTCCTACCCAGCTGACATTCAGGACTTCGGGCGCGATTCATTGTCCACTACCGGTCTCTCACTGGTTATCGCCGAAGTGCTCTGCTGCAGGCCGTCACTGAATTGCTCTGCCGCAGGTTGTCGCCGGAGTGCTCCATTGCTGGTCGTCGCCGGAGTGTTCTGTCGCTGCTCGTCGCCGAAGTGCTCAGCAGATCTTCTTCTTCTTATTTTCCTTTCTTCTTCCTTTCTTCTGCCGATCTTCTTTTCTCCTCCACCTTAATTCTTCCGCAGTTCTACGTTTATTTTTGGTGGGCGTTAAATTTTGTTTCTGAATGCTCTTTCCCATTCCTTTTGCTTTTGGTTCGTTTTGCTTTTGTTATCTAATTTATCTAATTTCATTTTCAAATTGTTAAATTTTTCGTTTATTGTTTTGTTTAATTTTTACTACGTAGCACATTATTTGTTTAATTATTACGAGTATTTTTTTGATCCATTTAATTAGACACTTGTCTTTTTTTAAATCAATTAGTCACTTATCTTGTATTATAGCAAGCTACATTCAGGTCTGTTTCAGAGGATCTGCAGTTGGCTCTTATAGTCTTATTGAAACTTAGCAAGTTTTCCTGGAGAAAAATATTGTTGTTATTGACATTGTTATTGACATTGTGATTGAAATTGTCTATGCACAATGGCATTATCATGACATTTTGAAAATGATACTGTCCAAAATTTAAATACGGAGTATCAATAATAATGACATAACAATGTCAACAATATTACAATGTTATTGACATTGTCGTCATTGAGATATAATGTAATCAATACCCTGTTATAAAAAATTGACATTGTTAAGTAATAAGCCGCACTTGCAAAACAAAGACCATGTCTATGATGAGGTTCAGTCATGCACACATCCTATCAGATCCCAAGCAGAAACTCGGAAGAAATGCATTTTTGTTCTGAATGAATTCGGGTTGACTCGGCATATCTTGACACAATGGCAATGCCAATTTCATAAAAATGTATAAAAAATGACATTGTAATTATGACAATGTCAATAGCCATTATGACAATGTTAATTTTATAAAAGAAAAATCACAATATCGAAAAAATGTTATCATGTCAATTAATCACGACGACAATGTCAATTACAATGTCATAACAATGTTATACAAATGTCAATGATAATGTCAATGTCATTGTCGATGCTATAAAATGACATTGTAATTATGACAATGTCAATAGCCATTATGACAATGCTAATTTTATAAAAGAAAAGTCACAATATCAAAAAATGTTATAATGTCAATTAATCACGACGACAATGTCAATTACAATGTCATAACAATGTTATACAAATGTCAATGATAATGTCATCAGAATGTCAATGACAATGTTATAAGAATGTCAATCATTATGAAAATGACATTTTTAAAACTAATGACATTTTTATTACATTTATACATATAATGACGTTAATTTTTATACAATGCATTATATTACATTATCATATAATGTCACAATGTAAAAAGTAGTGTAATTTCAAAAAACAATAATGACAATATCAATGACATAAAATGACTTTGTAATAATCGCAATATCATTGTTTAAATTATGACAATGTCATGACCATTGCAATTACACCAATCATTTATCAACAACTTCATAAATATTGATATCACTGTAAAAGCGTATGAGAATAAATATTGAAATGTGACAATAATAATAGCAGTTAACTAAAATAAAAGTAAAAACACAAATCTCGGATGACTTTGTTGCCATAAGATCAACCCATCAATATTAAAACTTAAAAGAGTAAATCATTAAAATTTATCAAAGACATAATATTTTAAAAAAAAAATTTAATACAAAACTCAAGGAAAAAGATAAAAGGAAAGTTGAAAATGATTTAAAACCGAAAAGAGTAAATCACTAAAACTAATATAAATGTATTATATTAACAACATATTACAATGTCATCGTTTGAAAATGTATTATACAATGATCTCTTGTCAATGATCTCTTGTGGTCTGCTCATCCTCTAAAGATCTACTTTGTTAATAAATCCTCCGGGAACCCTGATGCTATCGTCAAAGTTACAAAGAACTAGTAATAATATTAACAACATATTACAATGTCATCGTTTAAAAATGTATTATACAATGTCATCGTAGAACATTGTATTATACAATGTCATTGTACGACAATGTAATGTACAATGTCATCCTAATATAATGTAATATACAATGTCGTCGTATGATAATGTAACAAGATCATGCACTAATCGTACAACATTGTAATAGATAATGTCATCATACGACAATGTAATACGATAATGTAATATACAATGTTATCATTCGACAATGTGATATACAATGTCATCATATGGTAAATGTAATATACAATGTCATTGTTAGAAAATCAATATTTTATTTCTTGAAACAAAAAACACACTAGAAAGTCAAAATTCAAAATATAGTGTAGCTCCCTAACATAGTCAGGCACAAGATAGACAGAGTAGAACCCAACACCAAACTGTCCGATAAGGTTAATTAAGGTCTCCACTTTTCTGCATTTTTTCAACTAAGGTTGATGTTCCAGACTTTGCAATGGCTCCCATGTTCTTGATTAAATCCTCCTTTGTCATATTTCTTCAGCTTGGAACTCAAATTTCTCCGCATTAGCTCAAAGCGTCCCTGAACACAATAGTTCAAATAATACTCAATACACAGGATAAGTATAAGCCGAAACAAGAAATAAGTTGTGCAATTGCCCAACCTTTTCACTACATCACAATCAGTAGATAAACGGTGAGGGACAACACTTATCTTTTCCTCTACCTTATTAGGCAGATCCACCACTTGTAACTCCCTAAAATGAGACAAAAATTAAACAAAACAAATCAAAAAAGTGTAAAAAGAAACAAATAATAATTTAAAAAATACTAGAAAAATTATACAACACAAAATATTGAAAAAGTTACAACTTAAATTTACAAAAAAGAAGAAGGAAAACGTTATTAAGTCAGAATAGCAAATTAGCATCTAACAGCGAAAAAGAAGACAAGTAAAGGAGAGGAAGAAGAGAGAGGAGGGGAGGATTGGAGAAGGAGGAGGGTCAGGTAGCGGTGCCGCCGCTGCACCTTGTCTTCTCCGGTCTGGCACACCTCGTCTCGATCATCATTAGTTATCGCCGGCGCCGCTGCACCTTGTGTTCTCCGGTCCAGCACGCCTCGTATCATCATTGTCATTGCCCGCGCGGCGGCGCCATCTCTGTGGGAGAGGAAGAAGGTACAAAAGAAAAGAAGGGGAATATCCATCGAGAATCAATTGATACGAGAGAGTGCAAGCCGTAAGTTGGATGGGATAACTTAATAAGGGTAAATAGGTCAAGCCAAGTAAAATAAGTCCTATTTGAGTATTTAATAAGTTGAAGTCCTATTTACTTACCCGGTTAAAATTCTAGTCCTATTGGAAACCATTTCTCTAATATCTATGTGGAAATATAGACTACTTATTTATTTAAAACCAAGTAGAATAACATTTAACTAGTCTTTCACCGGTGCGTTGCACGAGATCCTAAATTAAATGGAAGTGAAATAAAACTACTTCACATGAAATAGATTTGACCTATTATGTTTGGAAATTATTTCAAAAAATTGTATTCTTATAGCAGAAAATATATATTTCAAAGAATTATTTAACATGTTAATCTTTGCAAAGTAAACATTGTCTTCCTTTGAAAATATTTTGCGCTATTTTTAAAACTAAATAAACAATCTATTAATCGAAAACTATAATTGTGTTGCTTTTGCAATTTAAATATATGTGATAACTTTTTTTTAAGGACATCCTTTTTATTGCACTATTGAAAGACCCAAAGAATGTTTCTCTAATAAATACTCCGTAACCAATATGGAAAACGTGTTGGCTGACTCTCCGATCAGACACCTGACAAAAAGTTGCATCACTAATTCTTCTCGCCCTCCACACAAACCACACCTTGCTTGACAGTCCTCAATGCATCTTCTCAGATTTTCAGTTGTTAGCAAGCACCCACTGCAAACCTGCCAAAATAGAGATTTGATATCATATTTAACAAATGCACAACTTATATTCATTTGTGTTATGATTTATGACCTAAAAATATAGTTGACATTAGTTCTTATGTGGTGTTGGTCAATTACCCTGGCTTGCTCTAAGGCTGGAATAAGAAGTGTAAAAACAGAATCTAACAATTGTTGGTTAGTTTCCTCGAGCCAGTTTCCTATCGCTATGACTGTGATCTAACATAATAGCCCAAGAAGAGAATAAAATGATTAAAGAAAAAGATGGTATTCATTATTGTTACTAAGATTGTACTCTAAGCAAATGGACTTCTTAAAAATAAATTAATATAATCTAGAGCATAGATTACTTACTATTATCAAAACTCCCAAAGTAACACATAAACATTCCTCTGATTTCTGGCATAAAAGACGTATGCTCTGACCTGTTATGTTTAGCATAAATAGCCACTTACAAATCTAACTCCAACTCTACTGAGTCTCAGGTTTGATTCTTCAGCCAGCTCAAAGCTTCCCTAATCCCCAGTAGTACAGCTTCTAAAGGAGTACATTTACCCCCACCAAAGTTTAGCTCCTCTCGCTAAGAACTCCCTAAACTCGTTTCGGGAAACCCAACTTAGTCCGAAGCACACTCCAACCGTAGAAGCATCGACATTGATTTTTTCCATCCTGTTGCCAGTCATTTCCAGTATGGGTTGCCTGACAGCCCGCTCTTTTCCTTGCTGCAGG